AGGCGGTTGGCGGGCCTGCGAGCGGTGCCCCTGCGGTGGTGCCCCCGGAAGCGAGGGCGAGGGCGCCCGCAGAGGGACAGGGGGGGGGGGCGGAGGGGCGAGCGGCTTCCTGCTCTCCTCGGAGGGGCGCCAGAGGCCGCCGGGGGCGGCGGGTGCCGAGAGCCCGGGCGGGAGGGGCGGCGGGACGGGCTACCCACCCACCTACCCACCGACCGACCGCCTGCCTGACGGAGTCCCCGGAGGGGTGTGTGTGTGGCAGCGTCTCTCCTGGCCCGGCCTCCCCCTCGGCCGGTGGGCGTGTCGCGCTCGCCCCCCCTCTCGCCCCCCCAGGGGGAAGGGGCGGGGGCAGCCACAGGAGCAGAGGAAGGAGAGGCAGCGGGTGGGGCGGGAGGGACCGGCTGGGCCGCAGACCCCTCTTCCGTGTTCCCCCCCCCCCAGCGGCTCAGGGTGGGGCGGGGGGGGGCCTGTGCCCTCCACCGAGCTTCACCCCCAAGCGGGGTGGGGGGTGGGGTTTGATCTCCCTCTCTCTCCTTTGAATCTTTCTAGCTGCTCTTGTGTGTGGGAGATTTCTTTGGCTCTGCTCAAGATCCAGAATGGGAAGACTATCAAACGGGAACAAAAAAAGGTACAGAGAGCCCACTCCGCGAGAACAGCCCCGCCAGATCTGGACGGCTGGCACACACATTGTGCGCAATGGCCCACAAAGTGCATCAGCGGCATGTTGTATTCCCATGACACTGTGGCCACCCAGCTCTTCTGAGCTTCTGCCACTTCAGACTCCAGCGGGAATGCGCCTCCAAAAATAAAAATTCAAACTAAATCCAGATAGAAAACTAAAGCATCAGGGGAGAAGTGGGTTGTTTTGCATAGTCTTCATTTTTTTGTTGTTCAGTCACACAGTCGAGTCCGACTCTTCGCGACCCCATGGACCAGATCACGCCAGGCCCTCCTGTCTTCCGCCGTCCTCTGAATTTGGCTCAATTTCATGTTCGTTGCATCTATGACACTGTCCAACCATCTCATCCTTTGCCATCCCCGTCTTCTTTGACCTTCAATCTTTCCCAGCATCAGGGTCTTCTCCAGTGAGTGCTCCCTTCTCATTTGGTGGCCAAAGTATTTGAGCTTCAGTTTCATTATCTGGCCTTCCAGGGAACAGTCAGGGTTGATTTCTTTGAGGATTGACTGATTTGATCTCCTTGCAGTCCAAGGGACTCTCAAGAGTCTTCTCCAGCACCATAGTTCAAAAGAATCTATTCTTCGGCGCTCGGCCTTCCTGATAGTCCAACTCTCGCAGCCATACATGACTGCTGGGAATACCATTGCTTTGACCATGCGGACTTTTGTTGGCAGGGTGATGTCTCTACTTTTTATCATGCTGTTTAGGTTCGTCATCACTTTCCTCCCAAGGAGCAGGCGTCTTTTAATTTCATGGCTGCTGTCACAGTCTGCGGTGATCTGGGATCCCAGGAACGTGAAGTCTGTCACCACTTCCACGACTTCCCCTTCTATTTGCCAAGGAGTGATGGGGCCGGATGCCATGATCTTAGTTTTTTTGATGTTGAGCTTCAAGCCCACTTTTGCGCTCTCCTCTTTTACCCCGAGCAAGAGGCTCTTTAGGTCCTCTTCACTTTCTGCCATTAGAGTGGTATCATCTGCATATCTGAGGTTGTTGATCTTTTCCCCAGCAATCTTAATTCCCGCTTGTGATTCATCCAGGCCAGCATTTCGCATGATGTACTCTGCATATATATTAAATAAGCAAGGTGACAGTATACATCCTTGTCGTACTCCTTTTCCTATGCTGAACCAATCAGTTGTTCCATATCCGGTTCTAACTGTCGCTTCTTGGCCCTTATACAGGTTTCTCAAGAGACATGTGAGGTGGTCTGGTACTCCCATCTCTTTAAGGACCTGCCATAGTTTGTTGTGATCCACACAGTCAAAAGCTTTAGCATAGTCAATGAAGCAGAAGTAGATATTTTTCTGGTACTCTCTTGCTTTCTCCATAATCCAGCGAATGTTGGCAATTTGATCTCTAGTTCCTCTACCTCTTCGAAACCCAGCTTGTACTTCTGGTAGTTCTCTATCCACGTACTGTTGAAGCCTAGCTTGTAGGATCTTGAGCATGACCTTGCTAGCGTGTGATATGAGTGCAATTGTGCGATAGTTTGAACATTCCTTGGCATTGCCCTTCTTTGGGATTGGAATGTATACTGATCTTTTCCAATCCTGTGGCCACTGTTGCGTTTTCCAAATTTGCTGGCAAATGGAGTGCAGCACTTTAACAGCATCATCTTCTAAGACTTTGAATAGCTCAGCTGGAATACCATCACCTCCACTAGCTTTGTTGTTAGCAATGCTTTCTAAGGCCCATTTAACTTCACATTCCAGGATGTCTGGCTCGAGGTCAGTGATTATACCGTCGTGGTTGTCAAGGACATCGAGGTCTTTCTTGTATAGTTCTTCTGTGTATTCTTGCCATCTTTTCCTAATCTCTTCTGCTTCTGTTAGGTCCCTACCGTTTTTGTCCTTTATCATGGCCAGCTTTGCATGGAACGCTCCCTTGATTTCTCCAACTTTCTTGAAGAGATCTCTAGTCCTTCCCATTCTATTGTTTTCTTCTATTACTTTGCACTGTTCATTCAGGAAGGCCTCCTTATCTCTCCTTGCTGTTCTCTGGAAATCTGCGTTCAGTTGGGTAAATCTTTCCTTTTCGCCTTTGCCTTTCGCTTTCCTTCTTTCCTCTGCTATTTGTAAAGCCTCATCAGAAAGCCACTTTGCTTTCTTACATTTCTTTTTCTTTGGGATGGTGGTGATTGCTGCTTCCTGTACAATGTCACGAACCTCTGTCCATAGTTCTTCAGGCACTCTATCTATCAAATCCAGACCCTTGAATCTATTCTTCACCTCTACTGTATATTCATCAGGGATGCGATCTAGGTCAAACCTGAATGGCCTCGTGGTTTTCCCGATTTTCTTCAGTTTAAGTCTGAATTTTGCAATGAGTAGCTCATGATCTGAACCACAGTCAGCTCCAGGTCTTGTTTTTACTGACTGGATAGAGCTTCTCCATCTTTGACTGCAAATTATATAGTCAATCTGATTTCGGTGTTGCCCATCTGGTGATGTCCATGTGTAGAGTCGCCTCTTAGGTTGTTGGAAAAGGGTGTTCGCTATGACCAGTGTGTTCTCTTGACAAAACTCTGTTAACCTTTGCCCTGCTTCATTTTGCTTTCCAAGGCCAAACTTGTCTGTTATTCCAGTTACCTTTTGACTTCCTACTTTAGCATTCCAGTCCCCTATGATGATGAGGACATCATTTTTTGGTGTTAGTTCTAGGAGGTGTTGTAGGTCTTCATAGAACCGGTCCACTTCAGCCTCTTCTGCATCAGTGGTTGGGGCATACACTTGAATTACTGTGATGTTGAATGGTTTGCCTTGGAATCGGACAGAAATCATTCTGTCATTTTTGAGATTGTATCCCAGTACTGCCTTTTGCACTCTCTTGTTGACTATAAAGGCCACACCATTTTTTCTACGAGATTCCTGGCCACAGTAGTAGATATAATGGTCTTCTGAGTTAAATTCGCCCATTCCTGTCCACTTTAGTTCACTGATTCCTAGGATATCGATGTTCAGTCTTGCCATCTCATTTTTGACCACGTCAAGCTTACCTTGATTCATAGATCTTACATTCCAGGTTCCTATGTAGTATTGTTCTTTGCAGCATTGGACTTTCCTTTCACCATCAGACACATCCACAACTGAGCGTCCTTTCGGCTTTGGCCCAGCCGCTTCACTCTTTCTGGGGTTACTTGTACTTGTCCTCTGCTCTTCCTCAGTAGCATATTGGACACCTTCCGACCTGAGGGGCTCATCTTCCGGCGTCATATCTTTTAGCCTTTTGATACTGTCCATGGGGTTTTCTTGGCAAAAATACTGGAGTGGGTTGCCATTTCCTTCTCCAGGTGGATCACGCTTGGTCTGAGTTCTCTGCTGTGGCCTGTCCGTCTTGGGTGGCCCTTCACGGCATAGCCCACAGCTTCATTGAACTGCACAAGCCCCCTCGCCACGACAAGGCAGTGATCCATGAGGGGGAAAATTGGCCATAATGAGTACCAAATAACCAAAAGGTTAGATTTATGTTTTAGTCAGAGTCTTGATGTAGAAATCTGAAAACTTACACTACACAGGAACAGGTATATCCTTAAGCCAAATAGATATTTACCAGCTAGCAAATATGAGTTGTAATTGTCTGCATATGCACCCACGTTTTGCAACTGGGGAATGTTACTGTTTTAGTTATGAATATTGCTGAAGTCTGAGTTCTATCTTCCAGCTACTTACAACTTATTTACCTAGTATTGTTCAATGCTCCACAGCAAATCAAAGCAACAGGTGGAGAACTGTCTGTTTCTATTCTTCTAGTCTTTGAACCTTTGTGGTATGGATTATGTTAGATATTTATAAAATGTCACAGCATTCTGTAGGAGGCATTGCCCCCCCCCCCCACCCTTCAGGCTTTGCCCCCCATAATGCAGGAGAAGCGGCTTGAACGAGACAGTCTTGTACAATCAAAACAGCATGCTTTGTGGAAAATAAAAACATGATTAGATGACCGCTGTGTGTCTATTTTGCTTCTTTAAGAGCTACCAACATTTCACTGTGGGGAAGAGTAGTGGATGTGACGTGGTTTAGGTCAAATATAGTTCACATTCCACTGTTAGGTCAGTGTTGCTTTTTTAATATGTCTGTATCCTGTTTGTGGTTTTGTTTTCTTTTTTAAAAAATGTATTATGTTGGTCCAATTCCCCTTCTCCATTCCTCCCTCCAAGCATACTGTTACACTTCTTGTTCTTTCTCATAAAAAGTTCATTTCATAAAGGCTTACTCATGCAGTCTTCTTTGGAAGTCATTTCATTAATTTCTTGAAGAACATGCATTTGTTGTTCAGTCGCATACATGCATGCAAACTTCTCCCACTCCCGAGAAGTTTAAATTGTTGAGATGACTTCATTCTGAGACACAGTGGCTAAGATTTAAAAAAAAAAAAAAAAAAACTTGAACCCACTGTTGCAGTATCTGAATAGACTGTCCAGTGAGGAAAACTGCAACCTACTGTAGATGGCTTTATTACAGAGGGCAGTTAGTTATCTGCATTCAGTTGGGTAAATCTTTCCTTTTTGCCTTTGCCTTTCGCTTTCCTTCTTTCCTCTGCTATTTGTACAGCCTCGTCAGACAGCCACTTTGCTTTCTTGTATTTCTTTTTCTTTGGGATGGTGGTGATTGCTGCCTCCTGTACAATGTCACGAACCTCTGTCCATAGTTCTTCAGGCCCTCTATCAAATCTAGACCCTTGAATCTATTCTTCACCTCTACTGTATATTCATCAGGGATGTGATCTAGGTCAAACCTGAATGGCCTCGTGGTTTTCTTCAGTTTAAGTCTGAATTTTGCAATGAGTAGCTCATGATCTGAGCCACAGTCAGCTCTAGGTCTTGTTTTTACTGACTGGATAGAGCTTCTCCATCTTTGACTGCAAATTATATAGTCAATCTGATTTCGGTGTTGCCCATCTGGTGATGTCCATGTGTAGAGTCGCCTCTTAGGTTGTTGGAAAAGGGTGTTCGCTATGACCAGTGTGTTCTCTTGACAAAGCTCTGTTAACCTTTGCCCTGCTTCATTTTGCTTTCCAAGGCCAAACTTGTCTGTTATTCCAGTTACCTTTTGACTTCCTACTTTAGCATTCCAGTCCCCTATGATGATGAGGACATCATTTTTTAGTCTTCGATGCCTGGTCATAAATACAGATAAAGAACATGGGCTGCAAAAGGCAATTTCTTGCTTTAAATGAGCTGGTTGTAACTCTCCCACCACATTTTGAGGGGGGGTGGGTTCCTGTCCATCCTCTCCTCTCCCTTGGTGAGGAGGATACACTTTTGAAGGCAGTGGGAACCCTTCGCACTTCGGCCAATCCAGCTTGCTCAGGCCATGGCTTTCTTTCCCTTAGCTCCTATTCAGACATATATCTTGGGTGCCAACACTGAAGAAGCCGTTCGTCGCTTTCCAGATGTCAGTGGATGTGAGCTAGCTGAGAACATCACTTATCTGGGTAATTCTGGAAACTTCTTAGTGATTTTTATCATTGTGATGAATGATACAACTATGAAGCCGTTAAGCTATGCTGATTGATGGATCCTGGAGAAAACTCTCCAGTTTCCTGAGAAAATCCAGCTGCTGTGTCTTTGTTGGCACTGATTAAGTCATTCGTTTTGCACATAGCCTGGGAGTGCCTTTGGAAGAAAGGTGGTGTCTAAATGCAGGAAGGAAGGAAGGAACTCCCATGGAGATGTCCTTTTATATGTTTTGGTGGAGGAGGCACCAGAAGGGCTGAGGAGATGTGGTGCAGTTCTTGGAGGAGTGGACCAGCTCCAGCTGGCCCAGCGAAGGCCGAGCAACAGTTTACTGGGGTAGACCCTGTGGGCAAGGAGGATTCTGTGGCTTCCAGTCGTAGCCTGGAAACACTGAATCATTTGCAGGGGGAAGAGTCTCCTTTGACCACTGTGATCGGTGGAGCAGTCTTCCCTGTGAGAGCACCCAGGGGAAATTCCCATGAGTCGATGGGCCCTCATATTTGATATCCAGCTGGATTATTTTATGCACACCTCTGCAGCTGAATGAAAGGGTCCTTTGGGGTGCACAGATGTAGGGTCTCTGTGCCGAGGGATGGCCTCGTTCGCAGCCAGTTCTTGAGTCCAAGCTCTGGCATGAACTTTACGTTCTGTGTTGTATGAAGGGCGCAAAGGTGTCTTCAGTGGAGCCTCTGGACTTCAGATTGCATACCTCAGTGGCGTTGAGTCCTTGCAGGAGCCGGCCCCAGCACACTGCTTCAGCTCCAAGGATGTGGCTGACCTCAGAACATCACTGCTGTCCACTCCGAAGTTCAAAGGCATTGATATCTTGCTGACCTCCTGTTGGCCCAGAGGGGTAGAGAAATTTGGAAACAGTCCTGTAAGTATTCCATTTGGATCTGGACCTGAAGGGGGGAATTGAGCTGGCCTGTTCTGTTGCCCTTGGTGTTCCTTGCCCAGCTGGCGGTCTTTTTTGCAGGGTGGTCTCGTCTTGGCAGCTGGTGGCATGAAGCTTGCTTCTAGAGGACTGGCCTTGGGGTCTTAATCAAGTGCACTTCACCAGGCTGCTAAATTCAAGTCCAGCAGCACCTTAGAGACCAGCAGGATTTTCGGGGTATAAGTTTTGACTCTCAAAACCTTGTACTCCAAAAGTCTTGTTCATCTCCAAGGCGCTACGGATGTAAATCTAGCCGTTGCACGCGTTACATTGATATGCAGTCGTTGTGGATCCTGACTGCTTACCCTCCCTCATCCTCTTTGTGTATCGCATCCTTGCATTTTCCCTAACTTGTGGATGCACAGAGTTTGTGCATGCATTTTGTATATGCACAGCCTTTCAAAAGTTGTGAGAATACACGTGGCTGGCAGGGGCTTGCGGGTTTCGTTCCCCTTCTCTCTGCACGTAGGCCGTGTCCTGCAGTAGCACACAAACAGTTCTTGTGAGTTATATGCTCTTTTAACAGGGCAACGTGGACACTAAGAAATGTGGTTCGGGGCTTGTGTCTGTGCTTGCTGGCAGTCTAAAGCCAAGATACCATTTCAGTGGTTTACAGAAGATCTATTATGAAAGACTTCCTTATAGGTATGTAGAATTGTGCAAGTTATTTAAAGTTAACTGTAAGTTGATAGGCTTCTAGGAAGTATTGTGAAGTTCAATTGCTGCATTTCATTGTAACTGCATTTTCAGCAGGCACCTGCCAGTTCTCCATCACTTGTTTTGGTAAATAAAGGAATTTTCAGCATAAGCTCCTTAAATAAAAGGGGTGTTGCAGGGGGGGGGGGAAGAGCAAGATCAGATGAGGAAAATAGGAAAAAAGTCATTGAAATTATATTCACGGGGGTGGTCAAACACGTTGCTTTTTGTTAAAAGATAGTGTAAAATGTTACCGTTCTCTGTTGGAAAAGATTCAGAATGAGTCTTCTGCAACTGTATACCAAAAAACCTGGCAGACACCTGTTGGGTGAGCATCCTGCTTCTCTGAGGCACACATAATCTTGAGGGTGGTTGTTTTTGTTGAAAAGAGGCTGTTCAGAACCTTTGGCCCGCGACTGTTCGGCAGCCGAGAGAGGCCGGTCTCAGTGGAGGCCGGTCTCACGGAGGCATGGCTTGGAAGAGCATGTCTGAGAGGGGAAATGCCCGGACTCTCCGTCCCGCGTGACATCGTTCCTTGTGTTCAGAGGCTTCCTGCAGAGTCCCTATAGAATCTGTGTGTGCCTTCTGCTCTGCCCGTGCAGGAACCATGCTGTTCTTCAGGAGTCTGCACAGCATGTGAGCAGGTTCATAGCCCTGGCGAATGTTGGCAATGCAGACAAGAGAAAGGTAAAGGCACAGAGCCCGACCTCCCTGGGGGGGGGAGGGGTGCGCTGTGGCTCAGGAGCGGAGCTTCTGCTTTGCGGCAGGAGGTCCCCAGTTCAGTCCCCAGTGAAAAGGATCAGAGCAGCAGCCGCAGGGGATGGGAAAGCCCTCCACCTGAGGCCCTGGAGAGCTGCTGATCTTCTGCCTCCTGACCCTGGGACGTTGCAGCAGCTGCTGCAGTTCATGTCCCCACTGCTACCAAAACACAAAGTTCCCTTGACCACCTCCCTTCCTTCCCTCCAGTACCTCTATGCATTCAGCATCCTTCCAATGAGTTCCATGGATCCCGCAGAACTAGTCAGACAGCCGCAGGATGTCACTGAGAACCCCTACCGAGGGCCTGGAGGATGGGATCGCGGTGCCCAGCAGCTGCCAGGAGCAGAGGTATGGAGCGTGCTGCGTCGGCTGGACTCCGTCTCCCTTGACTCGGGGGAGGAGCCGTGCCTCCCCCTGTGCTCCCTTGAGGCGGCACGCTCTCCCGTGGTGCTCTTGGTCCTCTTCCTGCCGCCTCCCTCCAGAAGTCCACAGAGAGCTGAGAAGGGGCACTTCTTGCTAACACTGGGGGTCTCCGCACCCCGTTTAGAACTATGAACGGAGCAGCACCGATGCATTTGGTTCTCACGCAACAGATTTCACACTTGGGGGCAGTTTTTCCAGATCCTTCGCAAAGAGAGAGAGGCCCAGAGTGAAGTCTGTAGCCGAAACAAACCGGCGCTCTGTCCTGTTCGCACTGGCAGTTTCATGCCGTTTTCTTGTCGTCTGTCAAAGGGGGTGGTTGTGAAATGAAAGAGGTGGTTGCCTCCATCTTCAGTACCCTTGGAAGTAAACTTCTGTCCCTGGTTTTCTGAGTCTGCTTAAGGTGATGGGCCAACGCAGTCCCTTTTTGACCTCCCCAGGAAGAACCCGCCTGCCAGTTTTTCTTTGATCTAAGCCCCAAGCCCAAAGGACAGAAGCGGCCTTCTGAAGGTCGAGCCGGGCGGCAGCCCCAGACCAAGCGGCCCCCTGGCAAGCCCCGTGAGTATGGAGTGGGGGAGGAGGATGGGTCTTCTTCTTGGCCAGGTTTTGGGATGTGGAACTGGTTTCCCTACACAAGGCAGAAACGGGGGTGTGCTGTTACAAGTACCCCAAAAGGCCGCTGTGGCTCGGCCTCCATGGGACGGTTCTGAGTAGCCTTGCTTGAGTCTCCACCCAGTCCATGTCCTGCTGACGTCATCGGCCGTTTGCCTGCCCTGTTGCCGCCGCTGCCGTTCCTTGCCCCCTCGTAACAGCTGACTTGTGGCGTGGCCCCTGGTGGGGTTTTCAAGGCAAGAGAGGTTCAGGGGTGGTTTTCCACTGCCCACCTCCATGCCATGGCCCTGGCAGTCCTTGGTGGTCCCCCAGCCAAACAGGCGCCAGCTCCAACCGTGTGTCGCTTCTGAGACCTGAGGGGGATTAATGAATGGGCTAGCCTGGGCTATCCAGGTTAGGGTTCTTGTACCCTGTCAGAAGCCACGGCAAATAAAATAACCTTGCAAGGATGCCCTGCCTCCTGCTAGTGAGAAGAGACAGCAATCAGCCCAGGGCTCTGCTGAACAATAAGCCCAGGGCTCTGCTGGACAATAAGCCCCGTGTTCTGCTTCACTCGTTTCATGGAGGCAGGAGGGCACCGTGGCCGTGTGCTTGAGAGTCAGCCACTGCCATCAGGGTGGCGTTTCCTTCTGGCAGCAGGCAAGCCCAGGGGCTTCGAGTGTCATTTCCAATCTCTTGCCCAGCAGGGCTTCCCTGAATGTTTCCAGCCGGGCACAGTGCAGCATTTGCCTGTAATGGAGGAACCGGATCCGTGATTTGCATAGCAACATGTATCCAGTGTGCCGGAGAAACAGAGACGGTCTTGATGCCGGAAGCCTGGCAAAGGAAGCAGATCCTGCCGGCTGACCTCGCTGACTGCTGCTCTTTAATCTGGGTTTTGTTTCCCCTCCGGTTTTCCAGCCCTGCCGACAGCCGCTTGCTGGTTCTGTCTTGCCAGCCCAGAGGTGGAGAAGCACTTGGTGGTGAGCATCGGGGCCCACGTAAGTATCTCGTGCCACCGGGAGGGGGGGGGGCGGCGTCCCAGGAAGACGGGGAATATGCCGTGTGCCTGGTGTGTGTGCTTGTGTGCTCCGGGATCCCCTCTCTCTGTGTGTGTGTGTCCCTCCGAGAGGCCCCGGACAGCCCTTCAGGCTGGGGGGTCCCCCAGGACAGATGGGGGGGGGTTTATTCTACGGCGTTGGCTGTATTTGCTCTCGGACGCCTCCTTCCCGCTGAATGGCTGAAAGGCACTCCGCTCCTCCAGTGGGCTTCTTCTCGGCGTGGTGGCCATTTTGAGGCTGCACCCCCACCACCCTGTTCCGGAATTCCAGTGTGTGCCCACGGGCACCGCTTTAGCCTTTGGAAGCGCAAGACACGTTTCCTGCCACTGTGTGCTGCTGCTGCTGCTGTCTCGTGCCACGTACGGTCCTTGTGAATGCCGGGCACATCGCAGAAGCCAAAACCCACAACGTCAGTGTTGGAAGGAGGTGGGGGAGCGTTCACGTTGACGCGCTCTAGCCCGAATGCACAGAGCTTCCGGAGCCCTTCCCTTCCCTGCCTGTGTGGAGACGCAAGCGCTGCGCCAGCATGTCCAGCAGGGCTCCCGCCGGGCACTTGCAGCGTCCGTCTTCTTTGCGCCTTCTTTGGCAGAGGTCCCTGGGTGCACCCCGTGCCGCCACACGGCTTCTGCTGAGCAGGCCTCACAAGATCAGTCTGAGGCTCTGGTGGGGAGGAAGCGCGGACCCACCCGTCAGGGCCCCCCCCCCCCCTGGCCCCGGCCCGAGTTGAACCCACCCGGTCTCCTTTCCTCTCCTCTGGCCGGCAGCGGCTCCGTCTCCGGGGTCTGTCCTGTCGCCTCCTGCCTGTTCTTTTGAATTGGAGGTCTCCGGGGGCTGAGCCCCCTGCCCCCTCACCTTAAACGAAGCGGCCCTGTGCTGAGCTGGCGGCTCGACAGGGCACGGGTGGCCGTTCCTGGAAGACCTCCGGGCGCCTTGGCGGTCTCTCCCTCTCCCTATCTCTCTCTCTCTCTCTCTCTCACCTGAGCCTCCCCCGCCTCTTGCTTCTGCCCTCCCACCCCACCCCACACGCAGCAGCAGCCCCAAAAGGTGCCCTGGGAGACAGAAAAGGGACAGTCAGGGCGGGGGGTGGGTGGATCTGCCCCTTCTGTCAGCCAGCAGAAAGTTTCCACGGGATACAACTCACTCTTGACGCTCCGCGCAAAGTGGATTAATCAGGTGTCCCCCCACCCCACCCCCCCAAACCTCAGCATTCCAGGCTGATGTCTCCCTCTTCTCTGGATCCGTTTCCAGCCTTCAGGCATGCTCACGTTACTTTATTTATGAATTAAATCTTGTGGAACTGAGACAGGTGCTTCTGGAGGCTTAGTGGATGGCCCATGCAGCTGGGTGTCACCGGCACACTGACTGCACCTAATCAGCCAGTCTCTGGCCAGGGGGCGATGAAGAAGGGAGAGAACCGGTGGCGGGAGAGACACGGGGCCTGGCCAGGTTCCCATTACTGTCCCCTTGAGGAGAGCCAGAGACATGTGCAGCCCCTGGCCTGGCCGTGGACTGTTTCTCTTTGCATCGCGCCCCTGCGCTGGGAACATTCTTTTCCTTTGCTTTAGCTTCTTTGCTGTCCTTTCTTCAAGGAGCTCAGGGTTGTAGACACAAACAATGACTCCACTGTAGGCTTCTCTGCCGGTGGGCATGGTGATGGCTTTAAAAGTGGGCTGGATGGGTGGAGCTCCTGGGCCCCCCTGTGGCTCCTGGCCCCCCCTGTGGCTCCTGGCCCCCCAGGGGGGGATAGTGAGGGAGCCGCCACCTTCTGAGGCAGTCCTGGGAGGCCGTGGCAAGGAAGGGCATGGGCCCCCCGGGCCCCCCATTTGTTGGCCCTGCGGAGGGCTACCGATTGACCACCGGTGAAACGGGGTACTACAGGACTTGATGGCCCAGCTGAGAAAAGCGACGACTAAAAAGGGGGGGGGGACCACGCGATAGAGGGTTTATCGAATTATGCCTGGGGGTGGGGAATGCTGAGAGAGAAAGAGAGATTTTCCTCCCTCTCCCAAAATAGTGGAACTTCCCGAGGGCATCCAGTGAAACCGATGGGCAGAGGAAGGCCCCCCTCCTTTCTGTGCCCCGTTGCTGAACCCCCCTCTGGGGGGGAGCTCCCTGCCGCCCCGAGTGGGCTCGGGGGGGGGGGGGGCGGGGAAAGGGGGCTTTGGAGACGGGTGGGTCCAGAGGCTAAGGGCTGAGGTGGCCGTTTGAAGCTAAGGGGGGCTCGGGGGGTGGGGAGACGTGGTGACCTGTCCCGGGGGCTGTTTCCCAAGGTCTTCTGGAAGGAAGGAGGGCGGAGGAGTGGTCTCCCCGTCTCTGTCCCTCATTGCCCTTGTGGGGGAGGGAGGGAGTGCAAACGCCCCGGCATGGGCGGGTCAGGCCTCCTGCTTCTCCTCAGGTGGCCTCCGTGCACAGTGATGGTTCCTGGTGCTGCCGAGGCTTTCAGGGGGGGGCGTGTGTGTGAGTGAGTGCTTGAGAGGGGGAGCTTGTGGCCTTTCCCCAGGGCTGGGGTCTCCGCCTGTGTGGCCGGAGAGCCAGGCGTGGGGCTGAGCCTCCTCACTCCCATGGGCCCGATTCTTCATTCCAGTGCTACCTCGCCCTTGCCAAGGGGGGCCTCTCTCCTGACCATGTCCTGGTTTTGCCCATCGGGCACTGTCAGTCAATGGTTGAACTCGCTTCGGAGGTGGTAGAAGAAGTGGAGCAGTACAAGTCGTCGCTGAAGAAGTTCTTCCGGAGCCGAGGGAAGAGATACGTGGCCTTTGAGAGGAACTACAGGAGCCAGCACCTCCAGCTGCAGGTGACGGTGGCGCCCCCCCCCCCGGTTATATTGGGAGGAATTCTCTTTGCAAAAGAGGAGCTTCATACTCTCACAGAGAGAGGGGAGGGGCCCTACAGGCCATCTAGTCCACCCCCCTCCCCCCCCCACTCCATGCAGGGTCAGCCCACCAGATGACTGTAAGCATTTCTGTCGTCTGCAGAAAAATGAATAATGACTGCAAGTTGTCTACCAGATTTAAACTTGTTTTAAAAGGTGTCCACTTCACTCCCCCTCCCGCCCCCCCCAGGTCCCCAGTGAAAAAATCGGCCTTCTCCCCCCGCCCTGCCCCCCCCTGGGTTTTTCCCCCTCTCCATTCCATGGGCGGCCCATTTGAAGACGCTGCCTCCGCGTGAGTCCTGCAGGGGCCGTGGGAGGTCCTCCGTGGCCAGTCAGAGGAGAGTGTCTCTGAGTGGCGTCCGGCCCCCACGGAGAGTGTCAAGGACACGAGAGCCCCGGGGGCTGGTGGGAGAGACCTCGGCCCCCCGGGCCCCCCAGGCCTCCCACAGAGTCCGTCGTCATGAGTTTAAGCCTGTAGCGGAGGGGGGGGGGCCCCTCTGGCATGATGAGCAGCTGAGCTGAGGGGCTCCCCGCGGGCCCCCGTGATGGGAACGGCTGCTGCTGCCGCTGCTGCTGCTGCTTCCGGGGGGGGGGGTGGGGGGATTCCCTCTCCTTGCTGTGGCGCCAGCTCAGGGGGGTGCGAATATGCCCCCTTCCAGGTCGTTCCCGTGCCTCAGGACTGCTGCACTACTGAAGACATCAAGGAGGCCTTCATCGCCCAGGCTGAGGAGCAGCGGATGGAGCTGCTGGAGATCCCAGAACATTCGGCTCTCAAGCAGGTGGGGGGGGGCCCCCGCTGGTGCTTCCCCGGCCCCTGTTCGGCCGCGGTCTGTCTGCTGCCAGGGCCAGGTGCCGTCGCCCCCCTTCCCCCGCCGTCAGCGGGCAGGGGGCCCCTCCCACTCGCTCGCTCGCTCACCCAGAGGCCGCCAAGCGCTGTGTGGAGCCGCCTGAGCCTTGAGTGCGCGGCGCTGCAAGACGCGTTTGCTGCTGGTTGACTGGCGTGTCGTGCATTTGTCTTTCAGATAGTACAGCCCGGAACACCCTATTTTTACGTGGAGCTGGATACCGGGGAGAAGCTCTTCCACCGCATTGGGAAACACTTTCCCCTGCAGTTTGGCAGGTCCGCTTGACTCAGTTGCTGTAGAGTTGCCGTTTGAGGGCACCAGACCCAAAGCCGCGTCCTGTGGGAGGGAGGGAAGGGGCACCCTTCTCAACGGCCTCTGGCTTGCCCTGGGTGGGCCCGCTGCCCCCCCCCCTGTGCCCGTCGCTGTGGGTGAAGGGACCAGGCAGAGCAGCCTTTGCCTTGACAGGGGCCACTGCCGCCCCTCTCCTTCCAGGCGTGGTGGGTGCCTGGGCTGCAGTGAGGCCTGGTGTGGGGAGCTCTCTGGAGGTGGTGGATGCTTGAAGAGGACTTGGCTCTCTTGCCCTGTGGGTTTTGTGGTGGGAGGAGGAGTAACAGCCTCTAAACGAGTGGAAGGCCAAGGGAGTGATGATGAACACATAGAATTCGCTGCCACGGGGGTGGGGGGGGGGGGGCTTCAAGAGGGAATCGGATAAGCCTATGGAGCAGAGGCCCATCAGTGGCCCCTATCAGCCACAAGGTACAGATAGGAACTCTCGGTCTGGGGCAAGGAATGCTCTGTCTTCTTGGTGCTTGGGGGGGGGGGCGGCGGGGGGGGGGGGGGGGCTTCTAGTGTCCTGGCTCCCACTGCAGGACCTCCTGATTGATGGCCCCTGGTCTTTTTGGCCCCTGTGTGACACAGAGTGTTGGGCTGGATGGACCGTTGGCCTGATCCAGCATCGGCCTCTCTCTTATGTTCTTATCCTGCCACTGTTTCTCCTCCGCCCCCCCCCCGTTTCCTCCTCCAGGGAAGTTCTGGCCAGCGAGGGCATCCTTGGCATGCCCAGCCGGGCAGACTGGAGGAGCTGCCAGATGGGGAGAGAGGAGGAAGCCGCCGCGGCCCAAGCCTTCCGCCAGGCCTTTGCACCCTTTGACGTCGCCCAGGAGGACTGAGCGCCTGACCAGGAGCAACCTGGCCGTGTCCTGCTCTTTCATTCGGGTCCTCTGCAGTGGGCAGAGCTGGCTCTGCACCCAGTCCCTGAACTCTTCTTCCTGGCCTGGTCCAGCGCCTTCTTCCGCAGGCAGGCGGGCAGGCGCTGAGCTGCTGGCACAGGAGGCCCCTAGAGGTGCAAGGGAGGTGCTGGCAAGGGGGCAGGGGGAAGCCGGACCGCGACCGGGGCTCTCTCCACCAACGGCAGACGGGCGGGGTCTTTGCTGCTGCTGGACCCTGGAAGGGTCAGCATGGCCATGAGAGATTCAGCCTTTCTTTGCCCCTTGACTTTGTCTGGAGCTTCTCAAATGCTTTATTTATTGTGAGATCTAATCCGGGGTGTGGGTGTGTGTGTGTAAATAGGCGTGGATGGATAATGAATCATTTATGTGGTGTAAACAGTTTTGGCATTTTAAATACAAGGATTTCTAACACCCGCCTGGGTCGCACCAGTTCCCACCTCTTCATTGGCCGGCTCGGCTGACGCCCTCTTGCTTGGGTCATCGGTCTTTGTTGAAAGAGCCCCTGTGGATGCTGCAGCCGGGGGAGAGGCGGGGTCCTTGTCGCTGCGGAGTGCTCTTCCTTCTGGCCTTAGAGTAGCAAATGCCTTGCCCCCTCCCCCAAACCTCGGGCAAGGCTGTGCCCCACCAGAGAAGGAGCGCGCACCTCAGTTGTTCACAGTGAAATTTGGCACCTGGATACTTAAGGCCACGGTTCAAAGCCACCAGGTGTCCAGCTTTAATGAAAAAGGCCTTCTTTCTGCAATGACGTCTCCAGCTGACGCTGAACAGCTGGTTCTGTTCTCAGCGCACAGGCAGGTCTGCACGGGGGACGGGACTGACCCCAGAGTGGCCATCGGCCTTTCCCTGGACGTGTAAGAAAAGGCCACGCAAGCGAAGCACTGAGGCAGCCCTTCCTGCCCTCCCTTCTCGTGATCTGCCTGAGCTCACAGAATCAGCATGGCTGTCAGATGGGGCCATCTAGCCTCTGTTTGAAAACTTACAAAGGAGGAGAGCCCACCACCTCCCGAGGAACCCTGTTCCATCGAGGAACCGCAAAAGCTCTGTCAGGAAGTTCTTCCTAATGTTTTGCCAAAAACTCTTTTGACTTAATTTCTCCCCCATTGGTTCTGGTCTGACCTTCTGGGGCAACACAAAAAGACTCCACAACCATCCGCACCATCCTCTAGATGAGTCAGCCCTTCAAGCACTTGAATATGGTTATCCTATCACCTCTCAGTCATCTCCTCTCCAGGCTGATGACATCCAGTTTCTTTAACCTTTCCTCATGGGACTTGGTCTCCAGACCCCTCACCATCTTCCTTGCCCTCCTCTGGACGTGCTCCAGCTTGTCTGCATTCTTCTTAAATTGTGGTGCCCCAAACTGAACACAATGCCCTAGGTGAGGTCATAAGAACATAAGAGATGCCAATGTTGGATCAGGCCAATGGCCCATCCAGTTCAACCAGAGCAATACTATCACTTCATGTTTATACACGTTAATCCGTGCCTGTGTGCTCCCGTTGCCGAATTGGAAACACACAGTCGGAGTCCCAACGAGTTAGGTGAATATCTGTTTAATGCATTGAAAGCAGGGAGTACAGGGGGGGCTGAGTGCCTTTGGCACCTCCTCAGCCATTCCAAAACTCTATTCTGCCGTAACCAGGAAGGGCCGAAGAAGGTCTTACATACACCCCAAATGAGATCACATATTGTTCACACATTAAAGAGTCTCTAATTGGTACCAAGCAGTTAACATCATACATGCATAATTTGACTCAGTGCATCTCTCAGTGGTGCCAGTAATTACACTTGTTTACCTTGTCTTCAGAACACTGGGAACATTAGGGAACACTACGGGTCCTTCCCGGGCTCGCGTGTGGAGAGCTAGTTGATCAGGGCTGTGAATCACATGACACTTCGCTCTCGGCGGCTTTGCAACTTCTAAATAGCATTCCATTCTTATTGCATACTAATTCCTTCTACAGAGGCTTCTTATACACAGAAATGCAGATATAAAATATATGTTCTGCTATTTGTCTTTTTAGCTACCACATCACACTGGTGACTCATGTTCAGTGTGTGGTCTACTAAGACTCCTAGATCCTTTTCGCACATATCACTGCCAAGACAAAGTCTCCCCCATCCTATAACTATGCATTCGATTTTTCCTACCTAAATGTAGAACTTTACATTTATCCCCATTGAAATTCATTGTATTGGTTTTAGTCCAGTTTTCCAGCCTGTCAAGATCATCCTGTATCCTGACTCTTTCTGCCATATTTCCTACCCCTCCCAATTTAGTATCATCTGCAAATTTAATAAGCATTCCCTCTCTCCCTTCATCCAGATCATTGATAATGTTGAACAAAACAGGTCCCCAGACAGATCTTTGAGGCACTCCACTTGTCACTCCTCTCCAAGAGGATTCACAAGCACTCTTTGGGTGCGCTCTGTCAACCGGTTACAGATCCACCTAACAGTCTGTTGGATCCCCAAGCATCGAGAATAAATCCACGTTTTTAGACACAAATGCCAGGGGATGTAACCGACCATCTTCCCCTTCTTGCAAAATAGCGGCCCCCATAGCCACATCCGAGGCATCAGTTTGGACAATAAACTTCTTAGATTCATCAGGGCGCGCCAGCACCGGCTCGGAGGTGAACATCAGTTTAAGTTTCTCAAAAGCCTCTGCGCAAGCAGGGGACCATTTAAGCGGGGCGCCAGGTTTCGTAGCATCAAAACCCTTCCCTTTGGTCTTTAACAACTCAGTCAGGGGAAGGGCAATTTGCGCGAAATTCTGGATGAAATTTCTGTAAAAATTGGCAAATCCGAGGAACATTTGCAATTGTTTGCGGGTCCTGGGGGGCTCCCAGTCAAGTACAGCCTGAATTTTAGCAGGGTCCATTTCAACCTTCCCCCCAGAGATGCGGTATCCCAAAAAGTCAATGCATGTCTTGTGGAATTCACATTTTGACAGCTTAGCAAACAAGTGGTGTTCATAAAGTCGCTTAAGGACCTGGCGCACCAATTTAATATGCGACTGGAGGTCCTGAGAGTACAGCAACACATCATCAAGGTAAAGGACCACTCCTTTGAATAGAAACTCATGTAGGACCTCATTGATTAGGTTCATGAAGACCCCCGGAGCCCCTTGAAGGCCGAAGG